CCCATTCACAATGTACTATTTTGATAAGAGATTAGTGATAGATACTTTAATGAAATTGGTTTGCTTTTTTAGCTTTTTATTCGTAATCGGCAATGTGATGTCTGTGTAATCATAATTTTGGCCCACCCTGTATTAAATGTATTTTATTCGAAATTTTATTTTAATTCTCTCCAAGGAAAATTTTTAGGTTTATTTTTTCTGAGCTTGAACCGTGGCATTGATGCTGTCGTATTCAACTTGCATCGGATTTATGGGCCAAAAAGGATGGCTATGATGATGGCAGGTACGATTTGAAAATTACGGAAAGACAGATTTCATTGATTAATGGTGCCTGCTCCGGGGCACCCGAACTGTAATGAGTGGCGGTAAGGAATTACTTCTGCTAGGTAGTTCCCCTTCGTTGCCAGGCTTCCAGCGGCGGTATGCATGTTCACGCGATCTACATACATGCGCCACAGAGCCACAGGACGACGCCAAAGCGTCGAGCGTCTCCGTTTAACGCTCTTGCGCCAAGGATGCTCGACGCTCTACTCTAAAAGAGCCCGCACGCATCCCTACGACAGCTGCGGACACGAAATTATCTTCTAGAAAGTGAGGATGGGTAACGCTTCCTTGTTTCCAAGTACGCTCGTTGAAAACAAGTGATTCATTTCCGTTCTGACCCATACTCTTCTTCGATGAGACTCGAAGATGACTATGCAAATCTCTCATATCTATCCATATGAGAACAACGCTCTTGAGAAATTTCTGGTCATGTACTGCTTTCCAGGTTTTGAACTGCTGGCGACCTTCCGGGACGAATCTCCTGTGCCAGTTCCACTGACAGCAAGCCACTTCAACCTGGGTTGCGATGGTTTGAAGCAAGATCTGTTCGTTTTGAGGAAACTTTGATCGATGTTCATTGTTGCTCATGTATCCGAATATGTCAGGGTCCCAACATGTACCAGTACTACCCAACTGAAAGTCTTTGTTTTTAAATATCTTCAGCAATTGACTGTTACCAATTACCTTTTGTACAGCTGAAACCTTAGACCCTTGCCAGTACATAATTCCACGAAAGCAATTGTAGAAAGGATTGAAACCCGGTTCGGTAATTCGAATGATTTGTAAATATGCAGATTGCGTATAGTACGGCTTAATCAGCTATGCTATGACATTTTGATAAGCACTATTGAAGAAATAAAATCAAATTTCTGGTAAACTCAAAGGTTAGCAGCAGAAAAAAGGCTTCATTGCTTCCCCGGCTGCTCTCTTTGCAGCAGAAATCGCTTAATGTCGTGGAGTGATATATTTCCTTTTACTTATCCTGTCTCCAAGGCACGGTTACCGATAATTTTATAGTACCTCCCTTTATTCAAAAAAGCGAGAACTAAAGGAAGTGTAAAAATTTGAAGGAAGTCGATTTCG